ATGTCACATATTTCTTGGCTCCTGTGCGCTTCCGACCAGGGTCTGTAGCTTTGCCATCATCGACCTCGAGGTTGGTCTTCTGCGATTGTTCCGCCAAGGCCTGAAGTACGTATTTCGGCATGACCGCATCTCCTTTGTTGTGACGAGTGTTTCGACGCGTCGCCAGCGCAAGCTCCTGGGCTTCTGTGCGCTGCAGGAAGACGAACTCCGTCCCCTTGGCGCGACGAAGAGTCAGGGTCCGAAGAGTAGGTGTAGTCGTCTGGGGGACAACTTTGGCAGCACGGTGCCTCGAACTTCGGCGGACCGGGCTGGATGCTTGATTTTCGTCCTCTCGGGCATCAACGCTTTTCCGTGATTGATCATCCCGACCAGGACTATCTGCAGGATCAGACGCTTTGACTGGAGACAACTGGACTTTTGATGGCGAGGGAGAATTGGCGTCCAGCTCTTCCAGAGCCCGTCGAGCCTGTGGAGTTGGTACGTCACTCACTTCCTGGCAGGCTTGTTCTGTGGGCACATCCTGCATAGTCATAGCTGCGGCTTTGGCGGCGCGAGCTGCCTTGGCCTTGGATAGGAAGTTATTGAGCAACTCGGCATCCTCCACACCCAGCGAGCTGCGTAGTGCTGAACGTACCAGAGTGGGCTCTTGTTGCACACTTAGGCCCTGCTCCGATGTGACTTCTACCGCGATTGTGGAGTCTGCTGTCTGGACTGACAGATCTTGTCGATCATCCGTCATATATGTATCCACGGCTGCATCTGGGGCAATATTGGTTACGGTATGAAGACTCGCTATACTGGTATCAAGTGCGGGGTCAGGTTGAGCGACATCGCCGGTGGCATTTATCTCGAAATCGTAGTTGTTTCCAGCGCAATCATCTGCAATGACGGACTTGCCATGTAGCGCGTGGAGATTCGCTGAGAAAAGAGCCGAGTCTGTGAGAGTGTCTGGGGTCGAGTCAAAAGATGCGTCCGTGTCCTGTTCGGCGATTGACGTGGCCGCGTCCCGTGGCTCATCCTCGTCAGCCGCAGCGTGACCTCCCTCCTCCTCTTCATCCATATCCATTGGCTCCGCTTGAGAATCATTAAAGTCGGCATGGTTCGTAGGTAGTTTCCCTGTAGTCCATCAGCGCGTGTCCAATAGTCACCTGGCTAAACCAAATATCAAGCAAGCATGCATACGTCTTCTCCCCGTCGCTTCAGACTCCCATTTCGTCTCAAGGAACGAACGTCCTCGCAGGACCGCCCTGTCCGGTTGACTCTCATCCTCCAGCCCAAAGCACCGTCGCTTGACACCACGGACAAACCCCAGATTCCTGGACAAGTTTATTTCGGCGAACAGGTCTTCATCGACGTCCTCGTGCGACGCAGTGACGAGACGTTGTAAAGCTTTCATGCTGTTAAAGGAGGAACGAAAGCGCTTCCAGACTTTCCGCGACTTCGAGCGCCCAAGGAACGCGTTCGACGGTTTCCGGTCCCATAGACGAGGGGCGGCGGCGGCCTTGACGGGCGTGAAACTGAACTTTTCGTCCTGATTCTGAAGCTGGCTATAAAACTCAATCCAGCGAAAGGGCGCGCAATTGGCGCACACAGTCGCAATCGTATTAGCGATCGTACCTTGGTCTCTGGGAGTAATAGCAAGGGACAGAAAAGGGGCAGTAAGAATTCTTCAACTCTTCCCCAATTAAAGGACGCATCGTAATTACAGGAATGTCTATCGAGACAAAAAAAGTAACTCACCATGCTCGCGACAGAGGGCCCGATTGATGGGACGGGTCATGACTGGTGGCCATGGCTGCTTGGAGTCCCGAGGAATGTTGACGCCGTGACGGAGCTCAACTGTAAGACGACGGGGAATGCAATGTAGAGATTCGAGCTTCTAGAATACTGCAATAATAGGATACAAGCTTAATAATTGAAGCATAGATGCGACGCTGATAGAGAAGAAAACCATCTATCCTAAGCAATACAAATACGCGTCAAGGCCGAGATGAAAGAAATCATAATAATGAAAGGTAAAAACTAAGCCCGACCGACGTGTTGATTGGCGGTGGGCGGACCGTTGCTGTGCCAACGCTTTATCAGATAAACTCCGACATACATACGGCCAGCTCACCTAGAGACGCCGAGGTTCACTGGATATGGGTTAGATCTCTCTTTCTATTCCGTACTGACGGCGACTTGATCATCCTGTACTTCATGTATAGGTGAAGAAGGAAAGATGGACCCTCCTATGCCTTGAGACACCCAGGAAGAAAATCGACAAGTCGGACAGCAGCACAGCACGGCTGCCTTCCAGCACCATAATCTTGTTGGAAGACGCATAATAGTGGTATAAAAACTCAGAATCTCAGGTGTCGCCTCGTCTACTTGACTCTGTACTACGACACACTACACCCGTCGTTTCCATGACAGGAGCGGGCTTGTCATTGTCGAGGTGCTCGGCTTTCAGCTTGCATAGTATGACTATATGTCACTTGACAGCAACCAAGTCAAGGAAACATTGATTTCGCAGCGCTAGACTGAGACTATTGACAAGGACACACCACGAGCACACTGCCTTTATCTACCGGATCACATCCGAGTCTCAAATGAGCTTTCCCGGCAGCGTCAAGCCTAAGCTTAGGCAAGTTCCGTTGGATTATGCTCACTGCCAACAACGCATTCACTCAAACAAAAGAACTATTTAAGATTTCGACGTTAAACTAATGGAGTCGGTCTAACACGGCAATGAAAAGCTCTAAGAAAAGGCCATAGCGAATATCATTCAATTCTGGCTTACTGGTTAGCGATTGTGGTCGAAGTACATGAAGAGGCTAGTTGGGCCATACCCGGTAAGCATAACTCATAAGGTCGTAAACTACTGTCTCTAGAATCGCCTTAAGCAAGAGACAGATAAAATTGGCCCCGTAGATTCACCGCAAACCCTAGAATACCGGCTCCTCCATATCTCGGTCATCGAAAGGGTCACCGAACTCATCTAGGCATACCATTAGCCATCATTCTCTATCACAAGTACCAGAGGAAACATGACAGTGAGCAAGTAATGCACTGTTGCTCAACCTACCCAGATTAAAATCCTTATCGACGATATACTCCATCGCTCGCTGGTACTCTTCCTCCGCCCGTTTGTTCATCCACCGTGCCCCGGGTTGTCGCTGCTGCGACTGCTGCTGCTGTTGTTGCTGCTGCCCAGCGACCTGTGTCGAGAAATCTGAAGGTCTGTTCTTCTCGTGTGTGGCCATCTCCGTGACTTCAGAGAAGTTCTGTGTCTGCGAGCCTGGTGGGGATAGTTCGGAAGTACCAGCAAATCCCGACGCGGAGTCATTGAGACTATTGTTGTTCGTAGGCGTGCGGGAGCCGGCCGGCGAGCCGACAGAAGATTCGGGGGATGAGGCCATTTGCGAGTCGCCGTCCAGATCTGTGCTTTATTAGCAAAGCGAGTCGTGCAGCTATTAAGACGTCCTGGGTGCGGAGGCGTAGGTTTATGAAAGGGATGGTGGGAACGCATCGGAGGATAGAACTTACCAGTCGGCATCGTAGATTATTTCCAGAAGCACGCAAATGAAGATGATCCTGGCAAACAGTCGGTGATCAGTCGGTGATCGTTGGTATAGATGCAGCTGTCGGCGGAGTAGAGACGCCTGGGCTCCGCCGCGGTTTAACTAATCAAGCAACAATGATTTTCCTGTCTTCGCTGGCTTTCCCCGCTGCTACTCACTCCCTTTTTCTCACGCAACAACTGTCGGAGTCAAGACCGCTATCAATGGACATATTGGGCTGGATTTGAATTGGTGTCCCTCGCCCCATTTTTTGCTTCCGTCTACACCACTAGACCTTCACTAGTCGCCTACATCCGTGCTGTGGTGGTCAATCCAAGTCAAACTCCATTCCCGCCGTGTGAATATGAGCGCAAAGCCTACTGCTGGCTCACCCGATGCTTGGGAAGATGACTGGGAAAAACAGGCAGATGTATGTCTTCCATCTCCAATAGCAGTGTTATTCGTGCAAAACCATCCTACATATGGGTCCGCTCGTCAAGAACCGTCTGACCGGAAAATTTCTCTCAGAAATTAGCCGATGATCCAACCCCTACTCCTCCAGAGAAGAAGGTATCCTCGAAAGTCACCAAGGCGCAGCGCAGGGCGCAACAGGCCGAGTTCAATCGGCAGCTATGGGCCGAAGCGTGCGTGCATACACTCTCTACGATCAAACTCAATTGAATATTTATGTGTTGATTATGTGATAGTGAATCTCCGCAAACTTTCCACTACCTAGAGGCTCGTTCCGATGTCCCTTTGAAGCAGGATTTCAAACCAGCGGTGACTTTACTCAGCCGCACGCCTCAATTGATGACGCGCCAGTCATCTTCCAGCGGAGTTTCTTCAGCGACTGCGGGAATCAGTCGGCTCGGTCTGGCGACCAATGATAGCCTGGAGGATTCAGATGACGACCAGAAACGGCCAGAACCGACTCCAGAAGAACGGCATGCCATTGCTCTGAAGAACTTGGAAGAAAAACAACGGAAGTATGAGGAAGTGCGAGAGAGATTGTTTGGAAGTCCGTCTGCAACCACCTCGGGTGCATCGTCACCACGAAGCGCGACTCCTCCCAGACAGTTTGAGGGCAGAGGAAAGGGGAAAAGCCGCGGCAACGGCAGAGACAACAACAGAGACAAGAGAGACTCTTCTGCATCCTCGACGAAGTCAAAACAGCTCTTTGACCCCGGATATTCCTCCAAACCCAATTCAACCTACGTGCAGAAGAAAGAGAGACAGCAAGCTGGCGAGCGGGTAATGAATGACCAGCCACAATCTCCGCGGCAACCCATTCGCAGCCCTAGAGGGCCAGATGCCAGTGGACGAGGTGGTTTCAGAGCAGGCCACAGAGGCGCTAAGGCCACTTGATCACAACACGTCGCGACGTCCGGGGCGCAGCCTTGCGTCATTCGTATGGGGATATGTCTTTAATGACAGGACCACCCCTTGCTCGCTGAAGAATCATGGCAACCCCCTTCCAGAGTTAATTGCGTTTGCAACCTGCGACGTATTGGGTCGATTTTCTGCGGGATGTCAGTCTTGGGCCAGTCACGGCATGATTATATACTCACGGGCATATCGCTCATAACTGTCGAGATACAATTCGTCAGAGCTAGTTGTCGCCTTGACATGCTCATTGGCCTCAATCGCATTAACCCATGCGGCCCACCGGCTTCCAGGCTCGGGGTCTGGCCAGCCACGGTACGGTTTGAGCACCCGGCTTAGCCGGAGGATCCAAGGGGCGATCTGGACGTCCACAAAAGAGATCGTCGGTCCCAGGAAAAATGGACCTTCGAGACTGGCAGCCGTAATTAGCGTCTTGAGACCGTCTTGAAGCTCCTGCATATTCGCCGTCTGCTTCTGTTCCTCCTGTTCCTGGAGAACCCTATAGAAGCTGGGCACGATGTGACGATTGATCTGCAGCCATTCAGCACCCGGTCTGGAAACTAATGTCGGACCACGCGTTACTTACATGATCGGTCCAGAGCCGACAGTGAGCTCGCAACTTCGCATCGCCAGGCGGCAGAAGGTGTGGACCAACCTCCAAATCTTCGAGCTGCAGTCCTGGTTAAGAGATGACGGCCTTCCCCGAGAAAGGAATGTGTGGGTCGAAACCTACATATTCGAGCAGAACCGAGCTTTCATAGGATCCCCAGTCACCGTGCCGCAACGCTGGCACCAGGCCTCTGGGGTTCACCTCCAATAGAGATTGAGGTTTTTGATATGGATCTACTTCGATATATTGATATGGGATACCCTTGATTTCCAAGGCTATCCAAACGCGTTGTACAAAAGGGCTAGAATATGCTTTGTTTAGCTGGGAGTGGACTGGAAGAATTGATGCTCAAACATACCAGAAGCAACTCCCGAACAGTTTGAATTCTGCTTCATGGGAATGATTTATAGCGGTCAAGGCCGCTAAGCCAGTAGCTTTGGTGTGGTATGTTTTTTGTTGGGCCTCACTTTGGGAGGGCATCGTTCTGGTCTTAAAATTTTGGTTAGTCTCAAGATATTTTTTGAATCGGAATACTCTTTTCAATCAAGCAATCGTCTCGTGGACGAGTCTCAGTTGTGGCAGCTGGGCCAAGCGGGGAAGCTGGATGTTATTTTGTCCGGCATCCAGCAGTGACGTAAATAGCGGAATCACACACGCCAACGCATGACAGTCACACAGCGCAAATCTGACAACTAAGGTAGTAGAAAGGAATAGATCGCACACTTACTGCGATTGCCTTCTTCTTTTCCTTGGCCTCTTTCAGCAAATACCGCTGAACACTATTTTTCTTGACCCGGTCGCTCTCTTCCAACGTATGCCGATGGCCTCCGCCCACCCCGTCATTCTTCCCATTCGCACCATTGCCATTGACCCGCTGGATCGTGAAAAATCTCTCTCCATTCGCCCCGGGATGACCCTCAGGTAAGGTCGGATTCGGCGTGAGCACGCCGAACGGCTGGCTGTCCCTCCTCTGTCCCAAGGCCGACGACTCATGGAACAACGAGTTCGCGCTGGGCAGAAACTCCGAGGAAGGAAAGGACGTCTCGGGCCCGTTCACCGCAAAGTCCGATACAGCGGCCATACCGTACCCGGGGAAGTATTCGGTGATTTTGATCTTGACGTCGCATAGGTCTCGTTGTCGGGCGGTGCGTTTACGCTTCTTCTTGTTCGGGTCATCGGATTTGGGGGTCCCGGGCGGGCGGCCTTTGAGTCTGCAGTCCCAGTAGTGGGAGACGAAGGGTTTGCGCTTGTAGCGTTGTGTGGAGCGGTGGGAGTAGACGTTGTCGACGTGCGGGAAGTAGGTTCGGAATCTAGTTGCAGGTCAAGCGGTTAGATACCTCGGCTTGAGATTCAATTAAAACTGCGTAGACGTACTGGTCTTCAGTCAAGGTGATCGTCTCGTCCACGTTGAATAGCTTTTCCCTCCAGTATTCGAGGTCCGGAGGATCAGGGACGAGTTTCATGTCCTTCAGACAAACATCCTGTTTCGAGAGCTCCGGAGCCACAGAGTAACCGTCGCTTTGCGGCTGTAGCTGCAAATGATGCGGAAAGGACGGCGATACTTGCAGGCCGGCGTTGCGCATGTGCCCATCATCGTCGGCGCCATTACCATTACACTCAACAGCGGTATTCGCAAGATCCGAACGTACTTGCGACAGCACCTGCTCGTGGTGTGCATCTTGATCGCCGCCGTGAGATAAACAGGATTGCATCTGCTGCCCATTTGAAAGGCTACCCGGGAATGTGTGCTCTCGGGACGTTTGGTGGTAGGTATGCAGCTTCTCGTTAAACTGCTGAGGAGATATCAGCTCCGTATTAACCGACTCGCTAGGTCGCGACGGCCGCATAGCCGCCGGTGTATTGAGCGGATGACTCGCATTTTGATGGTGCCGCTGCTCCTGCGGATGATGGAGATGGAGATCGGAGTGTTCGAGCGCAGACTGTAGAGGCTGAAGCGACTGCGCCTCCTGAGGATCTGCGAGCTCCTGTGTATGTGACTGGTGATGCTGTTGTTGGGTTGCAGCTAAAGCGGACGCGTCGTCTGCGAGGGACGACAGCGATCGGGGCTGTTCATCAGAAGTGTGAGAATCGACGCGGAATCGCTGAAGATCCGGGCCGTCCATGTCTCGAGCGGAACATCAAAGCACGAAGGCGGGATTAGCGAGTCTGGATCATGTCGAGTGCTGCTTTTGGAGGAGCGGAAGGGGAATTGGTGGGGAAGTTGAAGCGGCGTGTTGATGTGGAGAGCCTGATACTAGTGAAAATATGACGGAGAGTTATATTGCTGCAGAGTTGCTACAGACATCCCACAGAGGATGAATCTACATTTATACATGCCTCTCTCAAAAGCTGCGCAATGGCCATGATTTCACTTCCCATTTGTGGAACTCTACCGAATCTGTTGTCACGGTGAAATCAAACAGCTCAAAAAAGGAAAAAGCAACTATCGGATATTGTGACAGGGAAACCCACCAGCAAACTAGTCAGGTCTACAATTGACAGTTCATATCAACAGAACAACTCCACGTTATTTGCCTCGTATCAAAATAAAATCCCAATTGATATTTGTTTGACCTATATCAGTCTCCTCCTGCCGCCTTGAAGTCCAGTGCTCGAATTTGCACAATGGCGTCCAATAGCGATGCTCCTCAAGACTCGACATGTCAATATCCATTCTCGTCAACACTATACTGACGATACATGGTTAAACTCTGCTTGGCAAACGCGCTCCGGGCCCGAAGCTTCTCGCCGTATCGCGTGAACAGGGGCGGAACAATGCAGAAGATAGTTGCCATGGCTGCCAGCACGGTCACAGCAAGATTTGCGCCTAGAGCCGAGAACAGATGGGGCGAGACTAACGGAAAGACAGCCGATAGGATCGATCGAAGGAAACTGAGGGCCGAGAACCCACTCGACGCGTAGCTTAGATAGCTGTCAGTGAGATAGCCCCCAAGGACATAGTCTAACTCGGTCAGCGAGTATCCGACCAACAACAGCGCAATCACAGAGACGCTCCAATGCAAATCTTTCACGCCGGGGGGAATGGTCCAGGCGAAGACCCATAGTCCCCCCGCGAGGATAGGTGCTCCCAACCAGAGACCCAACAGCTTGTGCTCGGGGAGCAGGACGCGACCCTGCTGCCGGTGCTGGTCGATGATGTACAAGTCAAGGCAGCGAGTCAGCAAGCCAAGACTAAGCCCAACTCCGATAGCGATGAAGGGTAACCTGGCTTGTCGGGGGCTGAAACCAAAGGATTCATAGATGGGAGGCAATGCTTCCGTGAAAAGATAAACCAGTGCAATTGAGATTGCGCTTATCAAAGACACTATGAACACGATAGGTTCGGTGCAGAAAAGAAGTACAGGCCGAGATAGTGCAAGCCGCGCAAAGCTATGCAGATCCGGTGTATGATCTGGGTTTACTCCTTCCAGCGACTCAACCTTTGTCGCCTTGCGGAGCTGTGCAACTTCTCTTGCCAGCAACAGCGAGGGGCGGGATTCTCGGATGGTGAGAAGGAGGAAGGTAAGGAAACCTGTTACGATGGCCGCAATGTAAAATAGCCAACGCCTTTGAAGCCAGTCCGTTAGCAGCACTCTCTCGGCCATCAATCGTCAAGTAACGCTTACCAGTCCAGATCTGCAACTATGTAGATGCTCAAAATTGGCCCCACGATAAGACCCAGGTTGCTTGTTACGGCCCAGATACATATCATCCAAACCCGGTCGCGAGCGTTGAACATATCCTCTATACTGCCTATTACCACAGTGGTGGGAATCGCCGATAAAAACCCACTGACGAAGCGGCCCACAATCGCACCAGGAAGTGAAGGAACGGCGGCTACGACGAGACAGCTGATGCTGTACAACGCAGTGCTGATGATGTAGAGTTTCTTGCGTCCGAAAGCTTCAGAGTAGGGTGGAAAGAGGATACCACCGAATGCTTGCCCAAGAAGATACCTATTGCGCGTCAATAATGACATCGGCCAGCACATCCACTGTCACAAATGGCTTGGAATGACTCAGAAGGTGAGGCAGGTAACGAACACTGATACGAATATGAATATGGACTTTGTCTTCTCCAAGCTATATTCAGCAGCTGCAGCTCCGGCGGCGGTTGACTAGGTAGATGATCGGGATAAGTTGATGGTCTGGTAAACAAGTGCTTGAAGGAAACATACACCAGAAGTGCTAACAGCTGTTCTGATACGCTCTTCAAATTAGCACAGATAACGTTAACCCAGACAGACAGGCACATACGTGAAGAACTCGAGGAAGAAGATCAGGCTGATATCGTAGATCTTCCGAGAAACATCCCAATTCCGAGGATGTCGACGGTTGCCTATCGCCCATTGGACATAAAGCTCATCGGTGGTCATTTTTAGCCCATATTGGGAAAGATGGAACTGTAGCGAGTCCGGGTTGCTCAACGGGCTCAGCTTCTCGTCGGCAATTGCGATTGTGGCCTGCATCAGGAAGAGATCAAGTCATAGGAATACCGAATTCGAGATTCAGGTGCAAAGGATCCCGTGAACGAGATACATCCATGAGAGCTAGACGCATTTGAAGGGCTTCAGATCAGAGCACCGGAGCCAGGGATACGACGTACGAGCAGGATGTTGCTATCTTCAGAGCAGGGTTCTAGGGAGGTATGCGACGCCTTTCTCATGAGGTAAGCGCTCCCTCAATGCGCATTCCTGAGCCTATTGATATCGAGCTGTTCATTGGGCACCGAGCAAGGATACCCAGCTCTCGTCGTGTGAGTGTGGGCCATTTGCTAGCATGCTTTATTTGGAAAGTCGGAAGGTTCAGCACGATCAACATTCTTCACGGATGGATATGCTCTTCCCATTTCCTTGGCATGCTCGTTACACTGTTCGTCATCGCCAGTCTTGCGGTCCTGTCCTTGAGTGTAATGTATGAGGATTTGAGCGTAGCGTCATCTGGAGCGAAAGACCTTGCAGGCGAGTGGTCGTTTACTTACCTTAGCCGACATAGTTGAAGTGTGACTTCATTCCGTCCCATGTCATATTATTAGATTTCGTTCGACTTGCAGGCAAGCCGAATAAAAGATTGTTTGCTTACAGGGTCAAGCATCAAATCACGCAAATCATTCCGTTGCTTTGTTATATAACTCTAGGACTCATAGATTCATCAACCTGCGGAGAAAATCCTCCGTGCCCGCCTACTCTCCCAATCATCCATCGGGTAAGACTCGCCCTGCGCAGTCTCTTGTCAACCATCAGCCGTTCGGCACAAGCTTAAGCATTGCCATTGTAAGCAAGCTTGTTGGGGCTGCCCCGAGCGTTGGTGACAACACCATTGGTGGCCAGCTGCTTGATGCGAGAGGTCACGGCAGCAGGGCCAGAGAGGCTCTCGAGACCCATCAAGTAAACGGACAGGCCAACAATGTGAGGGGTGGCCATGGAAGTACCAGAGATGGTGTTGGTGGCAGTGTTGGAGCCAATCCAGGCGGAAAGGATATCCTGACCGGGAGCGAAGATGTCGACAACGGAGCCATAGTTGGAGAAGGAGGCGCGGGCGTTGCTCCTGTTGATCGCGGCAACAGTCAAAGCGTTAGGAGCGGAAGCAGGGCTTGTATTCGAGGCATCAGTCTGGCACAACATGTTAGTCCGACTACACTTGCAATGCTCATTTGTAAGTTTTCTAAGACCGGGGATACATACGTTCTCGTTTCCAGCAGCGACGACAGAAAGGACACCTTCATCGAAAGCGTTCTCAACAGCGTTGTTGAAGGCATAGGAGTAACCACCGCCTGTCATTATCCATCAGCAGCGGTTCCTTTCAAATCCAGTCAAACGAGCAAGACGGTCCGGTCCATCTTACCAAGACTCATGTTGATCGCAGCCTTCGTAGTACGACCCTTGCTCACGATGTCGTTGGCAGCCCAGTTGAAACCGTCAAGAATGATCGAGGTGCTAGAAGACTCGCCCTGGAAGACCTTGACGGACAGAAGGTTGGTCTTCTTGGCCACTCCGTAGGTCTTGCCGCCAATGGTACCAGCAACGTGCGTTCCGTGGCCGACGCTGTCAACATGGCTGCCACCAGCGGCGTTGTATGCCAGCGATGCACGGCCCTCGAACTCGACGTGGTTGACATTGATGCCAGTGTCGACAACGTAGGCATAGGTGCCAGCGCCGGCGCTGGTATCGTAGATGTAGTCGGTGCTTGCTTGTCCCTTGTGGGAAATGCTGCCCAGACCCCATGGGGCGCCCCTTTGAGTGGTCAAGGCATCAATGTACCAGATTTGGTCCTCCTCAACATGGGCAACCTGTGCGCTTGTAAGTCAGTGATCTTATTAAATGCTGGAGTTCTGAAGAGTACTGACATCTGCGCTCTTGCGGATTTCCTCGATGGTAGCAGCATCGAAGGAGCCGGCGTAGGCGGCGAAATCCTTGATCTTGTAGCTCTTCTCGATACCGACGGGAGTTTCGCCGCTGGTGGTATCGCGACGCTCCAGGTTGCGTTTGTGGAGATCAGTGGCCCAAAGAGTGTGAGACTCAATGGTAGCTGCATCGGTGCCCGGCTTGAAGGTCACGATGTACTTGCCAGGAATCTTCTGAGCAGCACGACGAGTTTCCTGGACAGGCGCGCCAAACACGGCTGGCAGGACAGCTCCAAGGAGCAGCAAAGTGCGTTTGATAGAAAGCATGGCGAAGACACCGAGAAGACTTTGGATACCGGATCAGGCTGGGAGATGTGGGACTGAATGGTCTGATGAACACAGATCTCCGGAGGACAGGCAGGTATTTATAACTTTTTCTCTCTCCGTGTTCGGTTCATGTTCTTCAGCACTTGTGCCATTTTCATGCCTCTGCATCTCCCAGTCACCACCGCGAACAAGGATGGAGACATTCCAGAGAGTGCAGTGGGAACTAACAGGGTAACATTGCAACTCTGCATCGCACACCGTCGGAGAGCCAGATAATGCATTGCGGAGAGCGTGAGATGAGATGGACTATGCAGATGACGGATATGATCTTCATCAGCTCGACATGACCGAGTCCGGGACAGGAAATCGATGGGTCATCAGAAAGAAGACGTCGACCAAGAAGAATAGTAATTGAAGCCGCTGATTCGTGCAAGAACGCCCAGAGCACAAGAGAATTCTCTCATTAGATGCGCAAATAGCGGCCAAGAATGCTATTGCTCCTACCTTTTGCTTACGGAAGGTAATATGTCGTGTCTTGGCTTTCTCAGCGACTCCTCACGCCATTGTGCCGACTGAGGCCCGTCCCACGGGCAAAGCTTCGGGGAGGAGGGGTCAAGCGATTCGTCTGCAGAGACGGATGTGACCCTACCAGGGTACTTGGCAAACTCACGCGATTTCTTGCTTGGCATTTCTGCACGCACTGGAGATAAGGATATTGACTAGGTGGCTCAGCCTGATAACGGCGAGCCAGGGTCCCCCCTAGACGGGGGACCCAGTCGCCTGAGATTGGCAAGAGGGAGAAAAGCACATGATAACATGCTTAATGGGCCTGCAGATCGTAATAACGTTTGCATTAGACTGGTGGCCCAGTAGACGCCAATCGAGCAGCCAGCGGTGCTGGCTTGTAGGCAGATAACCTTACTATTGCGCCCTGTACGACGCGTAGATACCGTTTCTCTGGAAATCTCGCCGGCTGGCTTTATGGACGATGGTAGTACACATATATCATACGTGCGCACATGTGGTCTTACTGATCTCCTGATGCAGTCATGGTTCGAGGGCAACACACTCGAACCGCTCGAGGTGACTCTTGCACTGACTCGAGCACGCCAACCAGGGCTCGGGGTAACTGTCGAACGAGGGGACGACCAACTTCCCCTCTCCACATTGTCTCGGCTAGTGATAATGGCAGACTGGGAATTGGTGGACGTAAGCAGTGTCTTTTTGACCTTTGTGGCTAGCCTAGATAGCCCGGTATCATTATTCGCCGGCGGGCGTCCGAGGAGCGCTGGGCCTTGGCATTAAGGGACCATACCGTGAGATAGATTAAGAGCAAATTATAATGATTCTTGATGGTAGATTCAGGGCCCGAACCCCAGAGATATAGAGTAAGTACCCTGTGAGACGTAGAGCGCCGAGGGAGTTCCTGTCTGGGCAAGCAGGATTCGCGGGCGCCTTCTCCGGCTTGGCCAATAGCTTAGCATGTCTGGTGATTTAGTCAAGTCGCATTTGACCTCGTGATCTCGATAAGGGCGCTGTCCAGTCGGCCAGGTCCGATTGCAGAGTGGGATCATGGGGGGTGATTGTGCCTTGTGGGCGAAAGGCCAAGAGTTCTCAGTGCAGCATGCCGACTTGGCACGTCCTGTTCCACCGGGAATCCGTTGGGGCTTATTATTATTATCCCATTTTATATGTTGCAATATGCATATATGCTTGTGAAGATGACGGCATGCATGTATACTTGAATAATGTCTCAGAGATAAGGCCTGTACTACAGTTGAACCCTTGCATTTGTTATTTTCGTGAATGACGAAGAAACACTAGGTAATAACGTTTGGCAACAAAAACGCCGGCTACCCTGCGGCCAAGACCTACTTTAATGTACAAGGATGAATTTGGCTAAAATTAAGGACAAAGATAGTATGGAGAGGCCTCGGAGAGAGATGACACCATTGCCCTGGTCAAGTACAACGAGCAATATCCAGTCGGAACCATCCTCCGATGCTGACCCCATCGCCAAATTCGACAGATATCTCGTCGTCTCAGTACCATGTCAGATCCTTATTCACTCTTCTCTACATGCTTCCTCTCTGCCACTTTGTTGTCAAACGGGTACCCCGTAGTCCTCTTGTCAGCTCCCGTCTTGCGACTGATCTTCCCATGGCTGCTTGCAAAAAGCGTACACCACAACCCAAGGGACGCGACGGCAAAGTATCCCACCATGGCCACCGCGAAGACCACTTGGTCGGTGGTGGTATACCAGGTGTACGTATAAAAGGCCGAAATGGCGTGGTAGACGGACGTTACTACCAACGTAGGAACGGCATACGGAGCCTTAGGGTCGGAGTCCTCGGTTGAGACTGCTTCTGAAACCGCTGAGCTGAGAGGGATGGAACCAGTCAGCATGATGGTCAAGGCGGCGATCGTAAGCAGACTGAAGCCAAGGCAGCGAGCGAAGTAGACCTCAATTGCTGCGACGGTTAGCTCCTGTTCCTGCTGAATGTCTTAGCTGAGGGTGGTGCTTACGCGATGGCTGTCTGGCTTCCTCTAGCATAATTCGTGCGATCATCTGTGGCATCCCAATCAAAGGTATGGCTTGTAGCGAGAGCCATCCCGCGGTTGCGTACGTGTAAGAGTAGAATACCTGGAGTACAGGACAAGATATCAGCTACCAGAAGTGCTTGAGGAGTATAGCACATCCCTAACACATACGTCCATGATATGCGAAATGATCTATGTATTTGGTGTACAGATCCTGTTTATGTTGTTGTGATCTCTGCGGATTCAGTATTCAAAGCCCAACAAAAGAGTCAATTGTAGATAGATGCAAGTCTTAGCATCGGAATATTATTCCCAAGTGCAGTATAAGTACCTCGAGAAAGCGATCTGAAGCAATTCGGTGATACGTCAGTTTGATACTGCGTGGAAGCCGTGTGACATCATCCACATGGCATCATGGCTTGCTTGGAATGCACGCCTTTTGTCTTGTTTGCATTGGAGACATTATCCTTGTTTTTTCTTTTTCTTTTTTTTTCCCCTTTTTTTCCTGTCTAAAGTCAAGTTTCAGAATATTCATAAAGTTATAAAGTTGTAGATCCATATACTACGCAATCTTATTGTTCCTTCGTGCCTGCGGAAGCCGATACCGCTGGATAAGAATGATAAGTACGATAACGCCGTAACAAACCCGAGGAGGATGAGATCAGCAGGGAAGTTCGAAAGAGAATAAAAGACATTAATCGTAAATTTTCGATCGAAATATCTATCGGTTGATATTACTAGAGCGTAGATACCGTGCAAAGCTCAAATCTTCGTCGTTCGGGCCGCCTTGAGACTCTGAGAGAGCTTCTTTGTATCGCTGGGACAGCCCCGCCTCGTCACCAGCTGGAGGAACACCTTCCTCGTCATCGTCGGTATCGTCATCGTTCTCCGAAAGCTCCAGATTCCCCTTGCTTGCTGCTGCAGCGGCTGCTTCTTCCTCCTCCTCTGCTTCGCTGACGGTCTCAGCTTCGTTCGCGGCACGCGGCTTCCGCGAAGATCCGGACACGCTCATATCCTTCATCAGCTTGCCCAGCTCCAACTCGCGCTGAGCTGCCTGGGTTTCCTCGCGCTCCTTCTTCTTGCGTTCCAATTCTGGCTTGTAGTCCCGTTCAAACTCCTGGCGCTTCTCTTCAACTGCTTCGAAGAAATCGTCAATGCCGTCGCCTGTCATGGAACTTACGCCCACGACACTCAAGTGGCGATAGAACTCTTCCAGCATTAGACTCATACTATTGAGAAGCGAGCCCATGTATCCGCTGCCTGCCCCGAATCCTGCGGCGCTGCCCTCCCCTCCGAAAGCACCAGACTCCTCCTCCTCTAGCAATGCTTGCTGGAATGCATCGAAGTCGGTCATCCATTCTTTCGCAAACTCTGCATCCTGGACGTCTGTCTTGTTGAACACGAGGATCATTGGCAGTTTTGTTTTGTACAGGATACTGCAGGCGTAGAGCATGTTGCTCATAAAGGTACTTGTGGAAGTCGTACGCGGGGTATCAATGACATAGGCGATGACAGTAGGGAACGAAGAGGCTAGTGTCTCCAGTAAGATGCTCCCGGATGCACTCCAAACGAAGACTTCGATTTGTCCGGGCGTGTCGACCAAAATGTGCTCGATAGGCTTGGCTGATGGATTTTCGGGATTGGGTGCAGTACGCTTTTCCAGTAATGATATAATCTGATCAACCTTTGTCGCAAACAGATTCAATGATGTCAAGATACCGCCGTTAGGTCCCAGATTGTACTGCTTCATAACTTCTTTGTAGTTGATCGAGTCACGGATGTCGATATTGCTCTCAAAAGGGACCGAGTATACAGCGGGGTCGAGGTTGAGAACGTAGGGGATCTTCTTCTTCGAATGGAGGTACGAGTTGATTCTCTGCATGAAGGTCGTCTTCCCGGAGCCTAAAGTAAAGTGGCATCAGCAATTATCGCTCATTCCTAGCAGGCCTTCGAGCTAGAACGCCCTGTCGAATGATATACCTGCCATCCCGACGCAGACCACCGACACGGGAGTCGTCGCCATGATGAGGGACGGATAAAATACGAATCAGTCCTGGGCACTGTCACAAAATCGCAGCAATAAAAAAAATTCTTCTTCAAATTAAGAAAAAATAACTAGCTTGATGGAGAAGGGAGCATGTAAGTGAATGATGTGGTTCGAAGCAGAAATTCTTTTGTCGCGGGGATTCGAGGAGATCTGCTTGCGGGTGGAGCCCGTAGTTCGGACCGCCCAGACGTCATCCTAGTGTTTTTAACGCTGCGGCCGCTCCGTTTCCACACGAAAGCTCTATGCAATCGGCTTGACAGATATCAAACATGACTCTAGACGATTTTGAGAAGTCTCTTGCGGAAGATCAGGAGCGACGGCGCGAACGAGACGACAGAGAGAAACATCGACACAGAGATCGGGACCGAGATCGCAGCAAAGAACGGTCAAGGCATCATCGTCATCATCACCATCATCGGCGCCATTCGTCGAGGTCCAGAGAACGAGAGTCGGATCGCCCTCGGGAGGCGCGTGACAGTGAGGAAAATGGTCATCGACACAAGCGATCTCGCCATTCCACCGACCACTCCGATGATCGGGATCATGCCAACAAGCGACGCCATAGGAGGGAGAGTAAAGACAATGAATCGGAATCTACAGCTCCAGTGAAAGAGATAGTTCAGGAGGAGCCGAAGCAGTTGAGGCGGGATGCTTGGATGGAAGCGCCATCCGCCCTCGACGTTGATTATGTTCACCGGCGTGCCTCTACACGGTTGGAGGAAGAACCGAAAGCCAAGATGCTCCAAGCGGACTTTGAGCTGAAGATACACGACCGAGAGCTGAACCAGCATCTCCGTGATCTGAAGGATGAGAAAGGTCTGGCTGAAGTAGAGGAAAAGCCAGCACAGCATGAGGTGGATTACACTATCGGGGATGCTGGCTCCCAGTGGAGAATGACAAAGCTCCGAGGCGTATACCGGGAGGCAGAGGAGAGTGGGAAACCTGTGGAGGAAGTTGCAATTGAGCGCTTTGGCGATCTGCGCTCGTTCGATGATGCGCGTGAAGAAGAGGCCGAGTTGGACCGGCGCGCACGGTATGGCGAGGGTTACGTGGGCAAGGAAAAGCCAACAGGAGATCTCTTCCAGGAGAGAAAGCTTGAACAAGGGGTTCATAGGGAACCTCTTGAACACTATCGAGATCCTGAACAGGAGCTTGCAGCTCGTGGTCAAGGTCAGAAGATCGACACGGTGCCTCCTTCGGGCGCCACTCAGCACCTTGACCTGACAGCTCTCAACCGACTCAAAGCGCAGATGATGAGGGCAAAGCTTAAGGGATCGGCTGAAGCAGCAGAGCTTGAGGAGCGCTACAATGTGGCCGCAGCGGCGATGGCCAATCGCAAGGAGTCCGATGTTGTAGTGCTCGGAGTTATGGAGAACCGAATGCTTGCAGGACAAAGAAATGAAGCCAAACCCGTCGAAACTAGGAGAGGCCGGGAGCGAGGACAGCTGGAGGAAAATGAGGATATGACTATTGAAGACATGGTCCGCGAAGAGCGGCGGACGCGCGATCAATTTGGTGGAGATGGGAGACGACTGGCGGAAAGGATTGCCAGAGATTCGAAATTCGAGGTCAGTCCATCACCTCACTCATTCATCTATGAATTTTTGCTGATTTTATTTGACTGAGTTAGAATGATTTGGAATACATGGACGATAATGCCGCCAAACTCGCCAAAAGGGTGCATCGGTCTGACATCAACCTCAAGAATGCTACCATCAGCGAATTTCAAAAGATGAACCGGATCTTGGACAACTGCCCGCTCTGTCATCATGAAGATACCAACACTCCCCCAATCGCTCCTGTGATATCCTTGGCGACCCGAACCTATCTCACTCTCCCCACCGAACCCGAGCTCAGCGAGGGATGCGCTACCATAGTTCCTATCCAGCATCGCACCAACCTGATGGAATGCGATGACGATGAGTGGGAAGAGATCCGGAATTTCATGAAGAGTCTAACTCGCATGTACCACGATCAAGGTCGCGATGTCATCTTCTACGAGAACGCAGCTCAGCCACATCGGAAGAGACATGCTGCCATGGAAGCCGTTCCACTGCCGTACAGTCTCGGAGAAACATCACCCGCCTTCTTTAGGGAAGCGATTCTCGCAGCAGACTCCGAATGGACGCAGCACCGAAAGCTGATCGACACCCTTGCCAAGGCGAAGCAGGGACTGGGTCGGAATGCATTCCGTCGCACTCTGGTCAAAGAGATGCCCTACTTCCATGTTTGGTTTGAGTTGGACGGAGGACTGGGCCACGTGGTGGAGGATGAGCACCGCTGGCCGCGCGGCGATCTGTTTGCCCGCGAGGTTATTGGAGGCATGCTCGATCTAGGCCCAGAGGTCATAAAACGACAGGGCCGCTGGAACCGAGGAGGCGATCGCAGAGTGGACGGGTTCAAGAAAAGATGGCGGAAGTTTGATTGGACCCGAGTGCTTGTGGAGGGATAGGTCGGGAGAGCCTTCAATTAGATGTTATTCAAGCCGAGCAGCTGATACTATGAATGTACATGATATGACTGTCAACTTTGGCTTCAAAACAGGTCAAGCGATGAGGGAGACAGTGCTGGCCTCTATCCCAATACCAGGTTTCTGATAATGCGACAGGCAGCGCATGCTCGTGCTTTTCAGGAGCATTAACGTTCCCGGAGAAATATTGACTGCCAAATACCAGCTGGTCTCGAGGTCATTCCATGTCCAGATTGATGTCTTTTGCCTCGCAATTAATTCCGATGCTCGTACTGATCTCCCCGCATAACCCCCACGCGGCGTTCACATATCGCAGGAAAGTATGTGGTAGCTTTTCTCACTCGGGAAAGTCCAGAACTTACCAGAAAGGATCCCACCGACATCGGTAAGATTGCCTCATCCAGACATTTTCTGTGTCATTGTCAATCCTTGAAGATCTTGACTGGTGAGTTGGGACTGGGGCCTCCGTAGATAGCTAGAGATGGATAGTGCGGGGGAGAAATACTGAGAAGGCGCTGCGATGATAACATCAAGTGGGCCACTGCAATCTTTCACGGCCGAATGAAGGCGATATACTCTCTCCTCCTCGGACTTTTTCTTTATTACTTTTCATCTCTGACGGCCTCTGACGATTGTGTGTATATTCTTCTCGAAGACTCTGCTCTGTTGCTGGCAATTGTGCTCATAGACATCGACGCAGCTGGTAGGCTGATATACTCTCGGACATCGCTTGTCCGCCAACAGTCTCGCTCGGCATAATTCCAGGTGCGACGCTTTTCGCTAATAAGTGAGTCAAACTCGTGCTTATCTATCTTCAATTCTCCTTTAGAAAGATCCCCAGATTGACTTGAAGTCACTCAGAAACCTCACAATGGGTTCCACCGGTACCAAACCCAAGGTCCTCCTACTTGGATCCATCGTCCAGTACGCACTAGCCTCTCCCTATCTCTATAGATCACTCTCCTGACCCAGCCTCTTCCCATCCAGCGCACACAAGACATGGCAATCGCTATCCGAGATCGCAGAACTAGTCACTCCCACCGCCACAAACCGCGCAGAGTTCCTGCAGGAATGCCGCTCCGGCAAGCTGGACGGCGTCGTCGCCGCATACAGAACCTTCGATTCCGTCACCATCACCGGCTTCATCGATGAGGAACTCGTCAACGCACTCCCCAGCTCAATCACTTTTCTAGCGCACTGCGGTAAGCTCACCTCACACTCCTCTATAAAAGGTACCCCAGTGATCTAACCTCCCTCCAGGCGCAGGATACGACCAAGTCGACGTCCACGCCTGCAGTGCTCGCAATCCCCCCCTGCGCGTCTCCAATGTCCCCACAGCTGTGGACGACGCCACAGCTGACGTGAACATGTTCCTGATCATCGGGGCCCTGCGCAACTTCAACGCGGGCATGCAGGCCCTCCGCGAAGGGAAATGGCGTGGCCAACCCCTCCCCGCACTCGGCCATGACCCCGAGGGCAAGGTCCTCGGGATCCTGGGCATGGGGGGAATCGGGCGCAACCTCAAGAAGAAGGCCGAGGCGTTCGGCATGCGGGTCATCTACCATAATCGCCGGCGGTTGAGCGAGGAGCTGGCTGCCGGAGCGGAGTATGTGACGTTTGATGAGCTGCTGGCCAAGAGTGACGTGATCAGTTTGAATTTGCCCCTGAATGTAAGGTTTCCTATCCTGCTTTTGACAATTCTGTGGGTTATCCTAACATTAGAGAAGAAACACACACGCCATATCATCAGCAAAGCCGAGTTCGAGAAGATGAAGGACGGTGTCGTCATTGTCAACACGGCGCGAGGCGCGGTCATGGACGAAGAGGCCCTCGTCCAGGCCCTCGATAGCGGCAAAGTCTACTCTGCCGGCTTGGATGTCTTCGAGGAGGAGCCCAAAGTTCACCCGGGCCTTATCCGGAACCCCAATGTTCTTCTCGTTCCGCACATGGGCACATGGACCGTCGAGGTGAGACTCTACAGCAGCGAAGTGAACATGGCAGGCATATACTAATCCGATTGATTTCTGGTAGACTCAAACGGCTATGGAAGAGTGGGCTATCGAAAATGTGCGACTTGCGATTGAAACAGGAAAGTTGAAGAGTCCCGTTCCCGAGCAAGCCGACCTTTGAATGGGACTATCACGAGAATTTTGCACTATGCCAGCCTTAATTTGGCGAAATGTACTTATCTCTCATTATTGATATGTACATGATTTTTTGATGATAGAGTAGATGATTGGATACACTTGTCACTGTGTGTTAAAAATGCACACATCAAATCGATCGCTGTAATTCTTCGATCAACGGACGTGTATCCCTCGAGGTTCTAGTCGTCCATATTAGGACACCTCGAAGCGAAGCATGCCAGAGCCAAACCCTCAACCAGACTTGATTCGAAATGATAAGCAGCCAGAACGCCGTGATGCTGCCATTCCCTAGCTTCTGAGAGAATTGAGAACCGAGAAAAACTCCTATGCCATGAAAGCTTTCGCTGAGCCGATTGGGC